TAAAAAAAATTTTTTTTAATTTATTTTTGAGAGAGAGATAGAGATAGAGCCTAAACAGGGTAGGGCAGGGAGGGAGGGAGACACAGAATCCGAAGCAGGCTCCAGGGTCTGAGCTGTCAGCACAGAGCCCGACGCTGGGCTTGAACTCACAAACAGTGAGATCATGACCTGAGCCAAAGTTGGACCCCAACCAAATAACCCACCCAAGGCTCCTCTTCCTCATTTTTTTAAATGGCAGAAGAGTATTCTTTTTATGGATATATCAAGCAGAAAAAATGACATGCTGTTTTTTTGGTGTTACAAAGGCTTCAGTGAACATTGTTTTACATACATTTTTGTATATTTGACCAATCATTTGCTCATGATAAATTGCTATAAGCAAATTCTCATTGCTGTAAGCAAATGAGTTCACACATTTAAATTTTCTTTAAGCTTATTTTGAGAGAGAGAGGGAGAAAGTGGGGGAGGAGTGGAGGCAGAGAGAGAATCCCAAGCAGGTTTCACACCATTAGCGCAGAACCCAATATGGGGGTTGAATTCACAAACCATGAGATCATGACCTGATCCCAGATCAAGAGTCTGAGGCTTAATCGACTGAGCCACCCAGGCGCACCACACATTTAAATTTTGATAAATATTGCCAAATTACCTTCTAAAAACATAGTTCAAATTTATACTTCTATCAATAGGCTTTTTTTACCAGTCTTATCAACATTAACTTATTATTTGGATTTTAATCATATTCACGTTTTTATGTGGTGTTTTTCTTATTAATGATGAGCGTTAGCATATTTTCATGTTCATTGCCACGGGGTATTTAAAATTTTTTTATTCTCATATATTTTACCCAGTTTTTTATAGAAGTATTTATCTCTTACTAATTTCTAAGACTTGTTATTAAGAATGTTACTAAGTATGTGTTAGCAGCATTTTTTGTAGTTTATAATTTATTCATTTTTATGGTGTCTTTTGTTACCTATATTTTATTTTTCATTGTAATTTTTTTTACTATATTATATATACTTTATTTAATAATATACATCATGGGGGACCTGGGTGGCACAGTCAGTTAAGCGTCCAACTCTTGATTTCAGCTCAGGTCATGATCTCACCATTCATGGGTTTGGGCCCCACATCAGGCTCTGCACTGACAAAGCAAGCCTACTTAGAATTCTCTTTCTTTCTCTCTCTGTCCCTACCCAACTCACAGGCTCTCTCTGTCTGAGAATAAATAAACTTAAAAAACAAAACAGAACAACAAAAAAAATGTATATATGTCATATATGATACATAATATTATAGATAAAATAATTTGCTTTCAAATAGCTGTCTGGACAGCATTTACTAATATATATTTTTTCTACTCATTTGAGATAATACCTTTAAATTACACTGTATGGTACTCACTGTCCCATTTCTGGATACTCTATTCCCTTGATCTAGTCATCTAGACTAACATATGCACTGTTTTATTTATTTTAATCTTATAATAATAAAGTTTAATATCTCATAAGACAAGATTCCTGTCACAATCTTTTATTTCTAAAAGTTGTTTTGACTGGTTTTTGCATTT